TTCTTAAAGAAAATATAGTAAATTGTCATAAATTAAATTACGGCTTCATTATTAACTCACAAGAAAAATATATCGCAAAAAATCGAGCATTTAATTCTGAATCAAAGATAAAAACAAGTATTGAAAAATGTCATATTAAATTAACATCCCCAAAAGATAAAAAGGAATTATTCTTATTAAATAATTGCATAGATATTTCTTCTTTCCAGTCATTACCGCAAAAATTAGTCAATATTATGATACAATCAAAAAACTTTAATTATAATTCATTTTTTAATAATCTTTATTTTCAGGCCGATTTTCCATTGATTGAATTGAATTTTGAAAGAGATACTATTAAACTAACCAAGGAAATAAAAACAGCAGTAGACAATGCTTTGAATAACGAGAGGCCATATCAAGAATTAATTAAAGTATTCAATACATTCGGTTATTTATTGTCTTTGAAAGTTATTCTTGGTCAAAAACTATACAGATCATGTATTTTACAAAAGAGATTAGACCTTGTTGATGAACAAATAGAATTTAAAGAAAATTATTCATCGGAGCTAGATAAGCTTTTTATTTTATGGAAAGATCAGTACGGATTCGATGAAAAGTACTTGATGTCGATAAATGGAAAAGTTGTTAGAAAAAATGATATTGAAAAGTGGCTAAATGAACATTTGAGACAAGATTTTAAATTATTACGAATTATTGATCAAAGTGAATTAGTTCCATTATATGAACTGTTTGAAGAACCGATTAGGGGCAATATTAAATCAATTCTAGGAATAGATAATCTTCCAAAAATTCTTATGACAGGGGTCGTGCAGATTGTGAAGGGTGTCAATTATTATAATGTAGACTTTCCTTGTCATTTAGAAAGTAGCAATTATCATATTTTTGCAAATATAACTAGATCAAATAAACATTCATTTGATGTTATTGATGAAGCTATTGTAAAAATACGATCTGGTAGCAGGACAGGTTTTTTAGCAAGAATTGAAAATTTTTATGAAATCAAGTAAGTAAAAAATGAATCATTATTTGAACATACGATAAATGTCATTATTTATTTTTATTTTTAATAGCGATATAAATCCGGAAAACTTACAAATTATGTGGATGCTAATTGGGTTTCCGGATGAAATTAATTTTTATAGTCCGTATACACGAGAATTATCTATCATAAGCATGGAAATTCAGAATGTTGACAGTGGCAAAACAAGTGTATTAATAGATGTTCCAGAAAATTTACCAGCAAACTCCAGAATAGTTTTGTCATTTGAATATCCCTTGTCAAATGATTATTCGAAAACTCAGGATGGCAAAATTGAATTAAAAATAGATTACAATCCATTTGATAATAATGACAGTACCTATTCTGAGGGTACGATGCCTGGAAACGAGCCTGAAATTGATGTTCATGAAGACGATAATGTTGAAAGTGAATCTGAAAACGATAATATTGAAAGTGAATCTGAAAACGATAATGATGAAGGTGAATCTGAAGATGATGCTGAAAATGGATCTGAAAGCGATAAAGTTGGTGAATCTGAAGATGCTGAAAATGGATCTGAAAGCGATAAAGTTGAGAGTGGTACTGAAAGTGGATATGAAAGTGATGGTGCTGAAAGTGAATATGAAAGTGATGGTGCTGAAAGTGAATATGAAAGTGATGGTGCTGAAAGTGAATACTCAAGTATCAATGCTGAATATAATATTAAGTATTCTCTTTATTCATATATTTTTATTTTTAACCATGAATTTATAAAGGCTGACGTATCAAATAGTGAACATAAAAATCTACATTTGAAAGCGATTGGTTCATCAATTAACTAGAACTTGTCAATTATATTACAATATCTTAAATTTATCTAAAGTTATTCCATTATTAATCACGGAAAATTTGTAGTCAAAAATAGTCAAAAATTATTTATTGTGCTTCGTTAAATTGTTATTTATAATTTTGCTTGGAATTAATTTATAGAAACATAATATTATTTATATGTTATTGTATTTTGGTTTCTCTGTCAAGTAACTTTTATATGATGCATTTTACAATTAATTTCATTGCAAGATTAAATACCATTACAATACATTATTGAGTCTCTATAAATTTTTCAAGTGCCTTTTGCATATTTTTATTGGATTGTATCTAATTTTTACCGGCTTATTTGACGATGGTTCAAGATCAATGAATAATATTACATGTAAAATTTCGTCGTCTATTAAAATTTTATGATATACGGGTAATTTTGCATAAATTTTAATTCAATTATTTACAATAATAAAAAGAATCATGTTAATAATATCAGGGGTGTTCAACACCAGGGTGCTATATTTCAAAACTAGCTAATTAATCAGGTTGGGTTTACTAAGTGAACCCTCCCAAAACTTATGTAACTAAAATTTAGATCTTTATATTTAACCCTTATTTTAATATATAATTGCACACTAACCCTAAATTTTAATTAAAAATATAAATATAGAGGTAGATATTAATATCGAATTGAATAATACTAAAAAACAGTGTTTACCGTATTTATTAATATATATTTGTAAAGATTTATATTTCGATTATATAATTGTTATATGATAACTGTTGAATTCACTAGTTTCAATCTATAATCTAAAAATCCCATTTGTATAAGACTAATAACATGAAAGAATACATGGCAAATTAACAAATTCTCAAAAATGAAATTTTACTATCCTATGAATATAATACATTTATTTCTTGAGGAATACGAAAATAAGAAATTTTCGATTTTCTTGTTGCAGATTTATTATTTAAAATTCTAAGCTGAAAATGTTCGGGAGAAACATTAATTATTCCATGACAATTATTATTAGGACATGTATCGTTGAAAAGTTGATTTATAAATATGGGACCTTTATCAATATTATACTTATTTCTTTTCAAATACTGGATAATTGATTTTTTCGTTAGACACTTATTATTAAGATAAGTTTGATCTTTAAATATGAGACTCTTGTCAATGAGACTTCCATTAGTACTTAAGTCTATTTTCGAATGCCAGACACTTGATTTTTTCATTGGATTCTTGTTATTCCATTTGACTTTTTTCTGTTTAAAATCTTCAATAACAAAGTCTTGCTTTATATAAATAGTACTATAAATAAATGTAAATTAATTAACCTCTATGAATCATTAAAATTCAGTATAGTCTAAAAGAATGCATTAATTACCAAACGAATAATTTTAAAAATTGCAGTAGTGGTTGAATCCTGTCTATTTGTGTCTTATGCATTTCAGAGCAGTAAACAAATAGACGAGCAGAATCTGGTGGATAAAAAATACGAGGTCCAACTATTAATTTTAAACTATGAATATTACTATTCATATTACTATTTGATGATATCGCTGAAGGTGTGTGTGGTTCTTCTTGTAAAAAAATTGTTTCTTGTAAAGAAATTATTTCGTCTTGTAAAGAAGTTGCTCTTTGTGAGGTTGATTCTTCTTGTAAAGAAGTTTCCTCTTGCGAAGAAATTGTTTCTTGTAAAGGAGTCGCTTCTTGTAAAGAAGTTGTTTCCATATTATCCAAAACACATGTAGTTAGTGCATATTTCTTCATGGTCTCCAAGTTATTTTGATGTGTAATATTTTTAACAATAGATTGATCATTTAATCTGTGCTTTCTACTTTCGATTACAACTTGATTCGACAATTCGAAGTCGAAAGTATTAGTCGGATATCCTATGGCCATCCATCCAATTTGGATGATAAATGCTTTTTTTGCCAATAGGTTTTTTTTTTTTACTAGGAACACGATTAATAATAATTTTTGGTTTGTCGGAACGACCATCGTAAGATACATATGAAGAAAATATATGCCTATCTTTGTTTTTTTTCAAAACTGTAGTGAATATATGACAATCTTTTATGCTATCTTTAGGAATACAATCTAATTTATTGCTTAGTTCATATACATGTTGATTACTTTTGCTTGGAAATTCAATTGATTCGAATTGCACTATTTAGTTCGAAAAACGATAGGAATTATAGTTTGTTACCAATTTAAAAGAATAAAGAATTTCCTTACCTTTTAAAATTCTCTTTCCCAAAGCTTCTATAACGTCTTTTTGCAAACTTTCTTCTAATAAGCTGAAAATAGAAAAGATCTTGTGATATTCAATTATTTTCCATTCTTCAGAATCTTTAATTGAATCGATCCATTCAGGACGATCTTTTGGTTTAAATTTCGACTCATCGCCTCCCTTTACAATGCGATGATAATTAGTAATGTCTATCACTTTTTTGTTACCCTTTTTTCTTTTCAAAGCAACATCAGCATTGACATCAGCATATTTTAGTTTACTATTAGCTGTGATATCTAATTCTTTAGAACTTTCGTATTCGTCTAAACAATATTAAACGATTTATATTTAATATTTGTCGTGGGTGATCGTATATCACCCTAATCCCAACCAATCAGATGCATTAACTCATCATCAATAATAAAACGACAGGGTGAAACCCGCGCTGTGAATTAGTAAAATCCGCTACGTAGATCACATGAGGGTGAACTTCGCTTTTGCATAATAAAAACACGGATTTCACCCTAACGTGATCTACGCAGCGGATTTTACTAATTTACAACGCGGATTTTACCCAGTCCTATAATAAATAGATGACGCCAAGGGAAAACCATACTGGCTTTCAAGTTTATTATTCATTACCCAGCCCTGATCGGAGACATATATGATACGTATGTAAATTTAGTACGTGTCATATGTATCGCGGTAAATAATAAATAATAAACTCGAAATCCCGAAGTCTGGTTTTTCTTTGACATCACTCAAGTTCAACATACTTGACTGATTTATGTTTTCTAACCTCTCAACGATAACGCCTCCAAAGTAAACAGAGCTTGCATAGAAGTAGCCATACTTTTCTGCAATTTTCTTAAGATTTTCTACTTTTTTATCCTGAGTTTCTTCTTTTAATGCTTTTTTAACTTCTTTATTAAATTCGGGGGTTACAGAAATGTTATCTTTCGAAATGTTTATATATGCTTTCCTCAACTTTGCATATGAATATTTTATGGCTTTTTTATGATTTTTTAATTTGCTAAGTGAGGATCTATAATCAACTCCAAAAAAAACCGAGACCCAAGGTAAAATAGATGTTTTGACATTTCCAAACGTAATAAAATTTCGATCGCATAAATCACTAAATTCATTTTTGCATTCAAATGAACTTTCTTCGTATCCACCATCTTCTAAAAAACGATATTTTGGTGCATTTACGATTGTAAATGCGCGGTGTATGGCCTGTTCAACTGAACCATTCTTAATAATAAATCCATATCCGCACTTATTAATCAGTTTAATCAAATCATGCTCATGTTCTTGACAAGTATCTCTAATAACATTTAAAACATTTTTGCCGTCCTCAATTAATAAAATTTCACCTAATTTTAGATTACTTTCTTCAGAGATAGAAATACGAGCTTTATCTTGATCTAGAAAACAGCAATTTGGACACATATAGAGATGACTTTGTTCTATCAAAGTATTTTCAAGTTCTTCCCGGATTTCAGCAAGACTTTTCCCTTTATCTAAAATATGCCTGAGTGGTTTGCTAGGAGTCTTACTATGACCACTGTAAATCATGACCTTGCCTCTTTGTAGGGTGGTGATATATAACTCATTGCCATTTACTAAAATGTTTTTTAATTTGTTCTTAATAACTTCGAATTCGCTAACGAATTTTCCGTTCTTCCATCGAAACTTAAAATCTTTCCTACTTTCGTTAACTTTATCATTAACAATTTCAATAAGTATTGTATGAATATCCTTTAATTTATCTTCAGGGTCTAGCGAGAGAGGTAACTTTTCATCATCAATATGAACTTTAATCTCCTTTAACAAATTCTCAACGTAGATTATGGATTTATCAGATTTACGAAGTTTATTTAATGTATAATCGGACTCATCTTCATGGTATATTCGTCTATTATCTTGTTTAAATAGAAGTTTTTCTGCTTTCCAGTTATCTCGTCTTTCTGCTAATTTTTTTCGCACATCCTCAAGTTTCACGTCCGGTTCAAACGATTTGGTAAAAATTTCTCCATCAATTTCGAAATGAAAATCTTTTACTTCATTGTTTTTTTCCATTAAAGAATGGAAATATACTTATGCTTGATGACATAATTGCAACAAAAGTTAATGAATATTTTTATTGACTTTTACTAAAGCGCACTTATGGTGTTTGACACCTATGAATACATTATCTCAAAAAACTGGCA